GTGACAAACGTGAGGATCGGTCGCCAGAGTTTGAAGAAAGTGGGCATAATTGAGATGATAGAGTCGGTGACTGAACCCCAGATGACAATCAGGTGACCCAATGTGAACATAATGGCCGACAGGTAGAAGAAAACGGCCCAAATTGAACTGATATTACGGGAGCCCTCTATGGAAAGGGCCGCCGGAAACACTTCTGTCGCGAATCTCATCACTTGATAATGACTTAAATGAGACGTGAGTTCCGAAAACGAGACCAAATTCTCGCCTAAAAACAGATTCGACGCCGAAATGATCTTCACGTCGTTCGCTGTCACCGGACTATTCGTGTCACTCGTCTCACGCAAAAAGTTTATGGATGTTATCTCTTCATAGGAGGACGGGATGTAAGTCAACCCTTTGCTCTTCAGTGTCCGCATACAGGCGGCAAAAAAACACGCACTCATCACAAGAATAATCGTCACCAGAAAGAAGAGCACAAGAATTTGTTTGATTATGTTATGACTCGACCGGTTGTGACTCTGAATGTTCAGAGCTATGGCACTGAAGGCCACCCACACTATGAACGCTTCCCGACTGGCCATTAGCCACGACTGGACACCACACGAGATAAATGCAAATAATTATAAATTAATTTTGTGCAAAAAAACAAAAAATTTAATTAAAAGTAGAAAATATTTTTATATGAAGGACATAAGACAACAAAAATTTTATTTCTAATGCAATTCTTTTGCAAAAAGTATATTACCATTGAGTCCAAGAGGAAGGGTTGTCCAGTGGTCTGGAATATATCGCTCACTCCATCGCCCCATTGCTCCATAAAACGCAAGACAACCAAAGAGTAGAGAACAATAGGAATGATCGCCGATATGACCAACACTTTGCCGGTATTGTGAAAGCCTTTGATTAATGTAATGCATATTATGGTCCAAACAATGCATAAATGAAATGACAGCTCAATCTTCACTTCTTTGCTCTGATGTCTTTGATTTCTGTCCAATACTCGACCGCTAATTATGATTAAAATAAATAATAAACAAAATTGCTATCAGTAAATATAATCAATAAAAACATATTTTATAATGAAAATTGATTTCAAACTGTTAAAAGTCTTAAGGAGTGTTTCCCCACAGGAAGAAAAACACTTAAAATACAAAGCAGTTTATCATTTTCATAGGAAATACTGTGGAAACACTTTTTCCTAATTAATAGTGTATTAATGACTAAAGATTTAGTAAACGATTTTTTGAGAAATAATTAGGAAAAAGCAAAACTAACAATCATTATAATTAATGTATAAATTTATTTATTGACAGTGATATTAACATCAAAAACATTATCTTTCTATAACAGAAATAGTTTGAAATAAAACCTATCATTTCGTTAATGTTTCACAAGTTTTTGCCATTAAATTAATGATTTTTATAATTTCAATATTTTTAAAATAATGCAATTAAAACTTTAAAATATTATGCTAATATATTTTATAATTAAAATAAATGTCGATCGATAAGCTTACAATAAAAAGTTATAAGTGAACAAAATATAATTTTCATTATTATTATTATTATTTATAAAATATAATGTTTAAGTGTTTCCTTATTTTTCAAGGATATCATTGGAAACAATAATTTTATTTACATTTAATAACACATTTAATGTATTATTATTAATACATTTAATCTATTATTAAAAAACTGTATTAAAAATAATGAACATCTTAAAAATATAATAATTACACTAAAATTGCTAAATTAAAACTCACTGAAAGTATGAAGAGACTGACCAACCGATGTAATCATATGACGAGGAATTCAATGCCTGCAAACAGTCTGTAAATAAAAGCATTTAAAATTAATTTCATACATATATTTCACACTAAATTTCTCCACATTTATCATTAAGTAATTTGTTTATCATTTAAAATTGATTTCCACATAAATATATGTAAATCTAAATTATGAATATTTATTATTATTTCCCAATGAAAGTATAATTTGGTTGTGAAAGTCTCTCTTTCTCTCTTACTCACTCACAACACACCTATAATTGTCTGTAAATTTTGTAATTATTGTAATGAGAAGTGTATTAAAAAACTCTTCATTCGTTTCGTCGGTTATATTAAAAGAAAGACAAAGACTTAATGACGAAAAGAAATTAAAATTTTCGAAAGTAATGAAAGTAACGGTCAATAGCTTTACGATTGTGTTATGCATTATGTAATGCAAAGCACACCCTCTTTGAAGCCCAAGAATTTGAATTATTGTTTGAGATTTTGACCTTTTCTTTAAGTATATTCGCTATACATATACAGAGAATCGCATAATTGTTTCACGAATTTTTCTTTAATATGAATTTTTTCTACGAAAATCATATTCAAAAAATAATATGATATCCGGTTTATGAGAATTACCTGTAGTTTTGAATATATTTCAAGATCTATGAAGCGAAAGAATTCACGATTAAATATTTGCAATAAAATAATGTTTTATATCTCAAAGCCTATTATAAGATAGTGTAGTAAAGCGTATACTAGTCTACAATACAAGCATTCATTGTCTCCTGTATTGCCAATAAGATTAATGAATCATTTGTTATATAAAAAACAAATTTTATTTCATACATATATTTGATAAACGTATTAATAAATTGGAGAATCAGTTGGGAATCCAATAGCTATAAAATTGTACATTTTGTATACAATGCTCTGATTCTTCCTCACAAGACATCCCATTCAATGGTATCGCCAGACAAACACACGGATAGATAAACTCGTATATAATGAACACAATTCATAATTTGCTTAAAACCGGATACTAAAAGGTCTAATCAGTCTTACTTAGGACTGAGTGGGGAGAGAGAAGTCAAGGCCTACTCATCATTCATTGAGAGCCATAAAAAGTTTTGTTTTTTATTTTTTTCTTCTTGGTCTTTTGCCGGGCTTTATATTAAAGTCAATAACATTTAATTGAAAATACATTTTCATACGAGACAAACAATTAGTTTATTGCATGAAATATGGTTTTAATACTACAATTGATTGGCGATAATACCGTGTAATAAGTTTCGATATTAAGCCCAATGTTAAACAAATGAATATAAAAGAAAGTTTCGATTGATTTTCGTATTGAAAATAAAATCGTTTGATTGAAAAATTTAAGAAATTAAATAAAATTTCTAATACTGTATAAATTTGACGGCAATTTCATTGTCTGGGAAAAGATGAAAGAAAAAAGAGTAAAAGTCTTCATTCAAAAGATCCTAATATTAATAATAATAAAACATATGATAAGGAAAAGCCAGTGTTTCGTGATTTACTGTACGTTTAATATTGCGATCGCAAACACCTGTCCTATACATTGAAACATCTCATCAGAAAACCTGATCGTTTCATATCCTGTTCGCTATTATATTAATTCT